GATATTATTGGAAAATCGGATCCCTATGCAGTTTTATTTGTACGCCCTTTACCTGACAGAAGAAAAAAAAAGTAAAACAATTGTAAGTTCTCATTCCCTTCCTTGCTTCCTCTTTGTTCATTCCTAGAGAAAGACAAATTATTTCAGTAAAACAATCGGTGGAATCCTATATGGAATGAACACTTTGAATTTATCATCGAGGATGCAACAACTCAGCACATGGTGGTAAGAATTTATGATGATGAAGGGGTTCAGGCAGCTGAGCTCATTGGGTGTGCTCAAATACTTCTAAGTGAACTTGAACCTGGTGGTAAAGTGAAGGACGTCTGGTTGAATCTGGTTAAAGACTTGGAGATCCAGAGATACACTAAGTACAGGGGGCAAGTGAGCACATTGATTATCCTCCTCAGTAGATAATAAATTAATAATAGTTTAAGCATTCACATGCTTGCACGTATTTTCACTAAATCGAATTTATTCAAGGGAAATTCCTTTATGTGGTATCATTTTATTCTTTCAAATTGTGATGCCTGCAGTAGGTACAAAGTGCTATATGTGGTTGCACGCCTCATTATAAGATTTCTTGATTTTTTTTTTAGGTTAGGTGTTTTCTCTTCCTAGAAATTTTGTATTTCTATGAAATTGTTATGCTGATTTTAGGTGCACTTGGAGCTCTTTTACTGTCCCTTTGGCATGGAGAACAGTTTTAAGAACCCCTTTTCCTCCGACATTTCAATGACCTCTTTGGAGAGGGTTCTTAAAAATGGAGGAGCAAATGGAACAGATGGCATCGAAAATGAGAAAGCAGATACACATAAGAAAAGAGAGGCCATTATTAGAGTTCTGTCTGTAACTGTGATATCCGCTGGAGATTTGCCGATTGTAGATTTAATGGGAAAGTCCGATCCCTATGCTGTACTCACAATGAAGAAATCCGATGCAATAAACAGAACTAGGGTAAGATTTGCCTATTGTTTTCTATCCTTAAGGCAGAAAGAATGTTTGGTCCCTTATAGTTGTTTCCTCTGTTAGGTTGTGAACAACAGCTCGAATCCTGTTTGGAATCAAACTTTTGATTTCGTTTTCGAGGACGGATTACACGATATGCTAATCCTTGAAGTCTGGGACCATGACACTTTCGGGAAGGTAAATTATTTGCTATAACTGTTGATTCTTCTCTAGAAGTCATATAAATTCCGGTGTCTGTTTTCTTTTTTCTTTCAATGTTGTTCTTGCATGATTACATGGGGAGGTGCATTTTGACTTTGACAAGGGTTATATTAGAAGGGGAATACACAGATTGCCTGCCACTAGAGGGAGCTAAATCTGGAAAACTTAATCTCAACCTTAAGTGGATGCCACAGCCGATTTTCCGAGATTCGTAAGTGATATACAAAGACTGGTAGGTTCCGAGTTCAGAGAACTCTGCAAGTTCGACTCAAGTCTCGTGCGAAAACCGCTTTATTCCAACCCCTCACATTTCAGTAAACCATAGCTCTCAGAGGATGCTCAAACTGCTGTTCCAATACCCTGTAAGGGCTAACACTTGAAACTTTTCGTATATTTTTTCGCTCAGCGGCTCTAGACCATGTAAAGTTCGAGTTTTGGATAGCGATTAGAATACATGAGAAATTGGGATTTGCCCCCAAAGTCATTGGCATGAGGTATTTGCTTATCGAATTCAACGTTTTCTTTTGACATTGATTGTTGGTTAGTATTATAGCCTGCATATGATATCATCTGTTTGATTGAGAAGACTATTCCAGTTATAGACTGCTTTCTTGACCATTCTACAATGCTTCAAAGTCGATTTCCGGTAGCCTTCGTACGCACAAGGGCCATAAAATCGGAACAACAGCAGTCATTCCCATCTCCACGTGCTCAGAGCTACTAATCTTCAAACAAACTTGCCCCATTTTCTGGCCATTAATAGAGCTTCAAGCCTTGTATTGGCTTGAAAGGCTTGAACTCGCATATGGATGTAATCCTTAATATGTAGAAGAAAAAAAACCTAAGTTAAGCGATAATTGAACCCTTCATTATCATAGTTTAACACTTCTTACACGGTTTGATATTCTCAGTCGTGTTTTAATTATGAATTGGGTAAGTACACAAATGCTCCCTTGGCTATGGGATATTGTTTTGTTAAGTCACTGATTAGTAAAAGATATAAAACAATCCCCCGACTATAGGGTGTTGTTTTGTTGAGTTTTCTTACTATTAGAAGTTACAAAATGGTCACTCGACTATTCATATGTTCTAAACTCATCATTTTCTGTTAAAAAATTGATGATCATTTAAGCTAGATGTTAACATGTTGAATGAGATAAGATAAAATTTGATCTCATAATCGTTTGAGCTATATTTTATTGATTGACTCTATGTTTACAGTATTTCATTGAGCTAGTGCTTGAAACATTATGTTGTCAAACCAGTGCTTGACAGCAACGGTAGTGCCAGAACACATAATTAAAATGACTTTTTCATATCACAATCAACAAGTTATCATCCAATTCATACGATTTTCAATTTTTTAATGAAAAATGATGAATTGGAACATATGAACAATCAAGTTAATATTTTATAACTTTTAATAGTCAAGGGACTGAATAAAACAACGTCATATAGCCGAGAGATAATTTTGTAACATTTAATAATCGAGAGGCTCAATAAAACATCATCTTATAATCAATGGACCATTTATATACTTTACCCTTATGAATTTAAGTATTTAGAGTTAAATATTTCACATTATTAATCATAACTGATTATACATATATATGGATTTGAAATTGAAAATGAGCGTACATTGTTTATAAATTGTGAAATTATATATATAATTTAAAATATATATTCAACTCTTGGATTACATTTTCAGTTTTTGTATTAAACCAACTCTCCCCCAATCAATTTCATCATCAAAACCATGAATATGACATAAATACATAAATATCTTTAACATTTATATTCATATATACAATACTTAAGATATGCAAACTTGACCAAAACCTGTTTAAGGGTCTTTTCTACAGTAAACCCTCTTGTTCTTAGGATTTACTTAATTTAGCAAATTTGGTAGATTCCATTGACTCTTCCTATTGTTTGATGGTAAAGATACTGTAAAATAAAATCGTTAGTATTGTTTGAAAAATAATAAAATAAATAAACATCAAACGAATAATTGTTTCGTGGTATGAACCACTATCTTAAAAATGAATTTGTCTCAATGTGTGTAATTATTGTAGTAAGCGATCGACTCTCGAGGTTAACATAATATCTCCGAATATTCAAACACCTAAAAATTGGAGCGGACAACAATGGTACTGCTCTTCTCTATTAAACAGCTACGGGTAAAAGGATTTGAGTTAGGACATTTTTTAAGAGATCAAATGAATTGTTTTGGATGATTTTGAGAGCTAAGAATGATCTTCTATTTATAGACTTGAAACTGGAGTTAAAATCATCCATTTAAAAAAATAATTATGAACTCTGATTTAATTCATTTAAGTAATAGTTGATAATTTGATGTAATAAGTTTTTCAAATATTATTCTAATTGTTTTTCCAGATTTGTTCTAAAAAGATAGAACGAGCGCACTGACGTGTCAAAGATACATATGACCACAACCACGAGCAGGACTATGACAGCGGCGGGACGTGTGCGATGGCCTTGTCATCTACTATTCAACAAGGAAGGGAAGGAGAGGTATTATAGATACCCTTCCAAAATACTTTTCCTTAACAATGTAGACTTGCAAGCTCTTACCCTCTTGAGGGTTACCAACACTGTTAAAATCCACATTTCTTCCCAGATTGCAAGAACAAATATAACAATGTTCAGAATCTTCTCTAACATTTTCGAAATCTTTAACAAAAACTCAAAAACGAGCCCTGAGAGAATTACTAAAGAGACTCGAAAAAAGATACATTTAATTTAAAGTTTAATGAACTAATGAGAGGGATGAAGAGAATGAGAAATTAAAAATTGTTTGGGATTGTGAGGGCGAGATGTCAAGACAGTGAAGCTCTGAAGGCGGAAGATGAGCTCTTGCTGTTCCCCCATGAGCCAGGCTTGACAGTGTTTTTGAGACTGAAAAATAGTATACTAGTCACAATCCCTGCTACTTCTAGCCATTCGATAATCATCCACTGTTGATATAATTTGGCTTAATAATGTATAAAAGAAAAGTCTCAGTTTAGCAATTTCAGCAGACGGAACAACCAAGATAATAGCCATCAAAGGAAAGCAATGTCGGTTGAGCTTCAAGACTAGCAATGAATGAAACGCACAACTAATATTTTTAATGTCATCGAAGCTTCGAATGCATCAAATCAAGAAATTAGAGCCAACTGCAAGAATGAAACTTGAGAAGAACAAGTACCTGGAACAACATTGAACATAAGGGACAATTGAAATTCTTACAGTTGAAGGCTCCAAGACTTGCCAAGAGTTCTCTAATATGAGCTGAGACAGTGTTGTGGTACATACGATGACAAAAACAAGCATTTGCAATATTAATAATGCAGAGCAAAGGCAGGAATCTTAAGAATTCATTGCTTAAACATCATATAAACTACCTTTGGGTCCCAGGCTTTCATGAGCATTGAAGCTTTAAAATGGGATACAAATAAGCAAAATCTCAATGATATGAGATAATCCGAGTCCTCCGTATGCTAATTTACTCGAACTCGGGTGAGCTTTTCCATGTATTTGAAGGGTCTTTATGGTTGGACTTGGGGTATTTCCTTATAAGCTCCAAGTAGACAAGTCAGAAATTTAACTAATAACCAAGTTATAATACCAGAGACAGAAAGCATAATAAAAAGCTTTAAATAATCCTTTTTTTTGCTTCCTTGTCTCATGAAGCAAACAAGATAACCAACATACTAATTTCCATCAATAGAATGTGGTTAAATGGACAAGTTAATTTTATTACGGACATTTCGAAATACATCATCTTACGAAGGATTTTACAAGTTACTTTCAATTGAATTTGTGACATTTATATTTTTCATGGAACAATTATATTCATGAATTTCTTTTTTGCAAAAGCTAACCACCATTTATTTGGAGTTCCATTGGGCCTATAGGCAACACTCAACAGTCTCCCACTTGTTTCTTCTCTTATTTGCTTCAGATAATTCCTAAGCAGTTCTGCATTTAAGAAATCAACGAATTATACGGTAGCCAATTATTGAGACCTCAGTACTCAAAGTTGTAAATAACATAACAAAGGATCAAGAGTTTGATGTAACAAACATAAATGAAGAGTTTTACAAAGTATTCCAAGCATTGCATACTTCCTATAGGCTACAACACTTGTCATATTCAAAGCACTATTGGAAAATCAACAGATTTTACATTTTCATTTCACCGAAATTGAGGCTTTTCAAACAACTTTAGGGTTATAATCTTTTAATTGGTCCGATGGCTTTCGTATATTATTCAAAACTACAACCATAAAGTAGAAAGTACATTTTGTTTGCATAATTCTGAAATCTTCCATGCAAAATCAATTTGATCTTGTCGTAACCGGTTTTCGTCCTGACATGAAAATTTTACTTGGCGAATAAAATGATATGAATAAATGGTTTTTAAAATGTTTTGGGAGTCGTCATCGGCCTTTTGGGTCAGATAGGTCGAATACATAAAAATTATCTTTTAAAAGAGTTTTTAATAAAACATCAGTTAAAAGATAAATGTTATGCGTTTTAACCAAAAATTCGTTCTTTTTAATAATAAAAAGGGATTAGTGGTCGGTTACGTTTGGGGAAGGATTAGCACCCCACAACGCCCAAAATTGGTACTTATTAATTATAAATTCTCTATTATTGGAAAAAATTCAAAAATATATTTAATTCATAATCCTTTAAATTTATTAATATAGTTTTAAGAAATATATTAATGTATTTATATATAAGATATTTATTTACTTAGAAACATCAGAAAAGGGCTTCTAGGTGCTTTAAGACAACTCCTTTCTTAATATTAAAAAATAAATAAATATTAAAACATTTATCTAAAAATAATTTAAAAATATATATAATTTATAAAAGTAAGATATTTATTTATTTAGAAATATTAGAAAAAAAACTTCTAGGTACTTTAAGACAGTCATTTTCTTAGTATAAAAAATAAATATGACAACATGATTTATATAAAATCAAATTTATAAATAGGATTTTTATCTAAAAATACCATAAAATAAATATCACTTATTATATAAATATTTATGACTAATATGAAAATAACAAAATAATAATTAAAGTAAGAATTTAAACATATTGAAAAATAAAGGGCAAAATTAAATATAATTAAACAGTGATTAAAATAAAATTAAAACTATAGCATTAAAATACATAATATATGAATTAATATACAAAAATGAAAATTATTAAAAAAAATTTAACTAAAATGTAAAATATAAAACATAAAGATCCTAATTTGAATTATTTAAAAAATATGTACTAACAGTGTGATTTAGCCTTTATATTTATTCGGGTTAAAATAAAATTTATTAAAATTACCAGGGACTAATTAGGTATTTACCGTAAATATGTAAGTATACTAATAGTGACTAAATAATATTTAAAATATAAAAGGTAATAAAATTATAAAATAAATAAAAGTATTAAAAATTAAATGAATAAATTATAACATAATTAAAATACTATTGAAATACCCTAATTTAGTTATTTAAAAATATAGTGGCTAAACATGTTATTTTACCAATTTATTAATTTAGGGATTAAAATAAATAAATATCAAATTCAAATATTAAATTAAAACCTATTATTCATGATTAAAATATTAACTAATAAAATTAGAGGACTAAATAAGATATTTATCCTAAAATATATATAATTACGGGTAAGAACTAAAATGTAAAGAAAATAAAATTTAAATACCGAATTGAAAGGCTCAATAATTGATTTTAGTGACCAAAGTGTAAAGATATAAACATAGAAAGGCCACGGAAAGGGTTTTACCCTTGATGGTAATTACAGAGATACCCCTTCCCCAAAACGACGTCGTTCGGGGAGGGGTTTAAATACCCATTAATCGGCTAAGAATGGCTTTAAGCCTTTCATTTTCTTCTTTCCTTTTTCTCTCTAAAAAGAGAGATAAAAATTCTCTCTGCCTTCTCCGATGAAGGAAATCGGTCGGCCGCCTTGCTCCGGCGCCAGCACCACCGCCGGCCACCGAATTTGGTGGCCGAAAATTACAAAACCCCCTTAAATCGAAGTCTCTATTTTTCTATACCCGAATCTAAAGTTTTTTTTAACCTAAACTCTTACCAATCGTTGTAGATCTATGATCTTTTTCTTAAACGTTTCGGTTTCTGGTGGCTCATAGAGGCTCCTCGGTGGTAAGTTCCCTTCTCTCTTCTTTCTTTGCTTTCTATTTGCTGTTGTGGGTTTATTTGTTGTGTGTCGTTTGGCTTCTGTTCTCTTAGTTGCTCTCGTGGTTCTCTATTTTTTTATGTTCTTTTATGTTGTTCTTGCTTTGTGTCCGCTCTCTTTCTTTTGCAGGATTCGGTGGCTTTTATAGCCACCACAGAGTTCTGTTTGGACCGGTCTTGAGAGGGAAACCTCGGTGAGTCACCAAAGCTAGGTTGGTGAATCACCGTATGGATGGTTGTTAGTTGCCATTTGGCATTCTGGAGTCTTCCTTGAGGCGGCGTCATGGCAGCAAGGCGTCGACAGCAGGGTATTGTGGCATCTGGCAGAGGAAACGTCGGCAGAGGCGCGACTGGCCTTTTGGATCATTGGCGGTTGGGGCTAGGGTTGGAAAACCCTAGTTGAAATGTCATAAACCCTAAAGAGTTTGGATCTCATATTAGGTCATCCGGGTTAGGCCCAGAATTATAATAAAATAATAATTATATTATAAATAATAATAATAATAAAAAATATATAATATTAATAAAAATATGAAAAAATTAATGTCTACAGCTACCCCTCTTTGCTCGTTCTTGTGTGAACAAGAATAGAGCAAAGACGAAGAAGACAATAATTTTTTCATTTAGCTTCTTTTGAGTAGGATGGAAATGTTTGAAAACATCATGCACTGAAGGGCTTATAGATGACCCAAAGATTTTGACAACATCAAAAAGATCCCGAAGGCTTTTTGAAAACATCTTGCACTGCAGGGCTTACGGATAACCCTAAGGTTTTGAAAACATCATGCACTGAAGGGTTTACAGACGACCAGAAGGCTTTGATAACATCATGCACTGAATGACTTATAGATGACCTGAAGGCTTTGATAACATCATGCACTGAAGGGCTTACAGATGACCCGAAGGTTTTGAAAATATCAAAAAGCTCCCGAAGGCTTTTTGAAAACATCCTGCACTGTAGGTCTTACAGATGACTCGAAGGTTTTGAAAACATCATGCACTGAAGGGCTTACAGATGACCCGAAGGCTTTGAAAATATCATGCACTGAAGGGCTCACAGATGACCCGAAGGCATTGGAAATATCAAAAAGCTCTCGAAGGCTTTTTAAAAACATCCTACACTGCAGGGCTTACGGATGACCCGAAGGTTTTGAAAACATCATGCACTGAAGGGCTTACAGATGACCCGAAGGCTTTGAAAATATGGAAAAGCTCCCGAAGGCTTTTTGAAAACATCCTGCACTGCAGGTCTTACGGATAGTGGGAAATAGTTTAATAAGTAAGAAACTATGGAAATCGTTTTCTTACTATTCAACAATTTCATTTTCATAAAAGATTAAATGAAAAATTTTGGAAATCGTTTTCTCATTGAAATAACTTGTTGATTGGGTAACATGCCCCAAAATAATACTTCTTCTGTGGATTGCGTCCATCTCTTCTTCAAATGTTTGCGTGATTCCTGCATTTGAGGTTTTGAATTCTACCTTCTTGTAAGGTATTTTTCATCATGAATATTCTTGTTCATACGAAGATATGTAAAACTTCATGTTTGAATGCACTCAGATGTATCAATGTAATGCATTGTCTATTGTGTAAATGATGTTCTTATGAATGCATGAATGTTGATGCAATCTTCATTTGACTTCAAAGTGGTGAACTTGGTCTTCTTTCACTTTATCATTCATTTTCAGGGTTACCTTTAGATATCAGTGTAGCAACATATGTCATAAAGCTGAAGAACCATTTGATCAACTTGTATCTTCGTGTCTTCTTTGTTTCATGAAAGTCTCAGAAGAAATGTTTCATTTATAGAACTCTTGCCGTAATTATGACCTTGATGCCCCATTTTTATTTTTGATAACATCGACTTTCTTTGCTTGGATTTGTGTAGAAATCCAATAAAGCTTTCATCTTTGAAAAAGAATCTATCATCTTCGGAGAGAGAATCTATCATCTTTGAAGATGTAGATGTAGATATGTCTGATTCAGCAAATTAATTAGGAGAGTAGCGACTGTTCTGTTTTGACTCTTAAAACACATCACAAGGAGGATTTATCCCAATTCCTTTCATGTTTCCACATCTAATCAGATCTTGAACAAGGCAATTTGGACCATATCATGTCAAGATGCTTAACAACAACCTGTCGTTCAACCTTAGTTGGCTCCACTAGTTTCTTGTTGTTAAAATTTCTGGTTCCCTTCTGTGAAAAGAAATCTTCATCATATCTCACTTCTAACCTTGGGGTTGGAGAAATCAAACTTCATCTTGGATCAATAAATGGAAACCATATGATCACAACATTAGTTCAGCACCATAATTACTGGTTCGTAAAACACATTCATCATTTATTGTGGTTTATGCTCAAATACTCGTAAAACATTTGACAACACATTCATCCAGCTGTGACTTCTACACAAATTTCTGGTCAAAGAAGCTCTTTGCACAGTGTTCAAAGCTTTTGAATGATGTCACAAGACCACATGAGAATAAAACTCAGTGGAAATACAAATGAGATGATGGCGTGTTTCATGACCAAAAAGTTGGTCAAATTCACAAGATATGCTAGTGCTGAATTGAATAAGATATGACAACTGATCTTGATATTTTCTAGGGCAAGGGCAATGTGTGATATCGATCACATTTTCTTCTATAATGAGTGTTTTAGGAAGTAGAAACACATCATATATAGGAGCCATGTACAGAAGGGAGTTCATGGAATTCTTGTTGCTGGGGATGAAATGCACATGATAA